ATTATTGAGAAGTCTCATGGCGTTTATGAATGTTCAAATCTGACGATTGTAGATCTAATCCAAGAGTTGAGAATTAGTAGTCTCACGAAAAACTATTGGTCTCACATGATCCCAAGTCTATATCTATCTATCTATCTATCTATCTATCTATCTATCTATCTATATATATATATATATATATATATATATGGGCCAAATCAAACGAAAACAATGAAAGTTTTATAAACCCGTGAGAACCAATACAAAAATATTTTTTGACATGATTTTACTTATGTTAAGAATTAAGATATTCCACAAGCCAAAAGCCGTGACAACCTTTGGACTGTTGATTTAGGGCAGAGGTCAAGAGTAGGGTTCGTTGAAAGTCATAGGCAAGAGCGAGTTTTGAGAGTGAGAGGCAGGGCGTCGATCAAGGCCGAAAGGGCAACATTGCAGCTCCTAGGCGAAAAGGCGGAAGCCCAGGACCAGAAGATAGTTGAGAACAGCGAGAGATGAGTGTTTTTCTAAGGATTGACGACAAGAGTGAGACCAATTCGTGTGATAGGCCAGATGAGATTGAAAGCGGCTACCTTTTTTGGAAAAAGGTTCAAAAACGCAACCTTCTAAAGCCCTAAATGAGTGTTGGGTTGGGAGCCCCATGGGTTTTGCTGCCCTGGGCCACCACCAGCTTCACCCAGTAGTTGGGTCAGTCTGCTATTGGCTAATAAGCTAGTTGATAAACTAGTGACATAATATAATTGAAACAAGCCACTAACAAATTTCATCATATCAAAACAAACAGTAACAAGAGTAAATAAGAAAAAATATAAGGTTTTTTGATTAAAAGGACCGGTTTCTACATTCAGTTTGTATTACACTTCCATTCAAATAGGTAAAACCTTGAGTTACACTCGAGAGGATTAGATAGTGGCACGACATAAAACCCGTATTTCAAAAACAACCAATGATCTAATGAGCTATAATCATTCACCAAGTGCATACATAAACCATTTAAACCCTTTTAAAAAAGTTTGAACAAACATCATCGGATTAATACATAAATTAATTCAATAAACGGCCATGTTGCAGCAACACAAGAATCCGAACAAATAAATGATGGAAATCCAAAACGGAGCAAAAATAACCTGTGATCATATAGAATGGCAAAGCAGGTCTGGTATACAGAATGGAAGTAATTAAATTCTAGAAGAATGAAATCTATATATATATATATGACCTGCAGAAGGTAGAGTTGCTTGAAATTTGCTCTCCAACTCTCAGTATCAGTTGTAAAAGAAGCTTCTTGGGAGCAGAAGCAGCTAAAAGGCTCTCCCTATATCAGACTAAAACAACAAAAAATTGGACCTGCTGCAAAATATAGAAATAACTGCAGTTAGAGAGGTAATTTATGGGTTTGAAAACAGTTAAACAAAGGCAGGTGAGAGGAGAAAAAGCGTAAAAATTTCATAAGCATGTGTTTCCTTCGATCGGAGATGATTCAGAAGAGCTTAAGTGCCACTTTCATCTTATTTTGTTTCCATTTTGGCATCTTGCGGAAAGCGTCTTTGGTCATTCCAAATTTCTTCTTGAACTCAGACGACGACAGATATATCTGCATATAATATCTTCAAATTTAATGAAGTTATATGGATCTAAACAAACCAAACCATATGGACCTAGTAAACCCCATAAAGAGTTAGGGTGGGAAGATGGGGTTATTCAGCTCATGACAAGTTCTTTTTGAATCCATGCCTTTCTGACAGGTTTCTAGGCATTCTTGGGTGGGTATCATGGTGACATTCTCAAACCTATTATGAGGTCATCAACATACAAAAACCTGTCAGAAGATCATGAACTTTAAAAAAACTGTGTCAGAAGGTCATGAACTTAAAAACACCCTGTTAAAACGTCCCTTTAACCAAAAGGACCAGATAAGATGTATGTGGATCCTACCTCTACCCCTTGGGGTAGAGAGGATGTTTCCGTAAAAAGGCTCTGGCTTTCAAAACAAATAAATAAAAAACAAGTCAGCAAGTTACAAGCGAGAGTGTGTGCAAACAAGCAAACAGGGAAAAAAAAACATTAGGGCAAAAGTAAAAGGAAACACAAACAATGAGAAAAGTTATAGGGATCTACGATCACTTATTATTCTTTGACGAACTATTTCAAAAAATTGTACCTCTCGCTTGGTTACATCAATATCTGGAGCAGGATCAGTCGATGATGTTGTAAGGCGTTCATATGGGTATATCGTGAGCCCTTCCTCTTCTTCGGCCTCATTCTCTTTGGCATCTTCCTTCATTGTTTGGGCCCCTATTCTACTGCTCATGGGATTAGCCTTGGAGTTCAACTCAGGTTTTGCTGTTGACTCGGATTTCACTGATACATTACAAGAGGAGAGGGTAACAAATTTCAGTAGTAGTCTTCTACCCGTGTCTCATGGGATAGAGAAACTGTTTTACTTATAATTTAAGATGATGAAACAAATATTACCTTTCAGAGAACGAGGCATAAGTTTTTCTCGTGTTGGTTTATCAAAATTGGCAGTTAGTGATGCTATAGCCTTAGACTTGGAAACAATTTTAGAGAGATCAAGATTGCCACCACTGCGACCCCCACCACTACCTCCACTGCCACCGCCACCACCTTCACCTTCACCGACTTTTGGATAAAGCTTTTTGACAAGTGGAGGAGGCGTTGACAGATTCCTTCCACCTGGATTATCAAACTTAGAAGCCAGAGCATTGAAGGCTGGAGATCTGCCCCTTGCACGAGGTCGGTCAGAGCTGAAAGACACACTCCTTGAACGCTGTGGTTTTTCAGAGCTAGACCTTCCTCCAAATGACACTGGTGCTCTCTTTTTGGGTTTCTGACAATGAATAATCCTTTATTAGAAGAAACTTACCAAACCAAACTAGCGCTATATATCCCCACCTGGTGGTGGGGTCAGGGGAGGGTAGGATAGGATGTAAGCAGATGTGACCTCTACCCCTAAGGTGTAGAGTGGCTAAAATATGAAAAATGTTCTTAAAACATATGTTGAGCATCAGGAATAGTTATTCTATTGGTAAACACCCTTTTTGATCATTGAAGAGCATGCATCAATCAGGGCCTCACAGAACACAATCAAATAACTGAAATATTCCTAGGAAAGTGCAAATGAACTTTCATACAACAGATTTTAGCCTACCAATTTTAAAAGCTAAAGATGAGACATGAACTCATAAATCATATGGGACTATTCCAGAAACCTATACTCTTTTAGCCTATCAACTTTAAGGGTGCTTGTTGCAAGTTCTATAATTGTAAGAGGGAACACTTAATTTGAACCATACTCATAGGAATAACAGCAAAATTCCTAAAGAACCAATCTCCAACCTCTTGGCATGTCAGCAGACTTGTACTCTCAACAAGAAAGCTATACAAAACAAAAAAATGGGCTCACTGCAATGCAAAGAAGGAAATCTTTGGCCCTGGCAACGCACAGATGCCTGTTGAAATTTCAGTAAAGATGGCCATGGTTGATTAAGTCATCAGGAACCAGAAACGAGTCTGATCCTTTACCCCATGCTGCCACCTCTGCCGCCTCTGATGAAGCTTCACAAAGCCACAGGTGGCCAGTTAGTCTATCACTTCAGTAAATTCTCATGGAATAATCCCTTTCCATTCCTGATTACCTGAAAGAGACCCATAACAGAAAGGTGGTCCTCGCTGCCACATATAAGGTATGATACATAGATGCCAGTTGCACCATATGGCAAAGAGGCGGTGGCCAATTAAGCCAACTGAGACTGAATTTGATCTCCACCATTAACAAAGTCCCGAAACGCTACTGCAGAGTGTGGACAATTGAACGCCATATGCTAAAATTTGGTTGAATTTCTTTCCTAGGTGTGCGAGCAGTCGATTCCTTGGTTTCTTTCTGCCAAAAAAAGAACTTGTGATGTCCCCATGACATATCGGTGCACTAGTATTAGAGCTAGTACAACTCATGGGACTTGCATGACCGATATATCAACAGCTCAAATCATCATAAACCAGCTTGTCCAGATGAGCCATACACAAACTCGGCTGTATGTAGGTGAGTTTTAGAGAGGAAATGGGGTAGAGATGGATAACAAAAATCAAAATGTCACTGATTTTTTTGGGTTAGATTTGACTCTATGAACAGAGTCGAACACAGTTAAGATCTCTCCATCTTTAGCTTCTTCCATCATCACATTAACCTCGATCTAAACCATCAAACAGAAGCTGGTTAAATTTAGATGGATCTGCTCTGGACCGCCCCCCATAGATAATTTGATTTCCATGTATGATGGATAGACTGATGGAATCAGAGCAGGCACGTGTACCGTGGAGGGACCAACTGATGGAAGATTGAGAGGATATCTTTTATGGGTCACGCTTGCAAATTACATATCTACAAGTATTTCATGTCAGCTTCAAAACATACAGCTACCAATTTGGTTAGTCTCAAATTACTGATTTACAAGTATTTCATGTCAGTTCCTAGAATATATAACTACACATTTGCTTATCTCATGTAAGTCATCAATGCCTTTTAGCAAGCCTCAAACAGTCTAATTGGACATTCCGGGTGGACAAAATATCAAAGGATGCTAATACAGGCTTATAAGTTACCTATCTACATATCTAACTATTCAAGTTCCATGAGACAAAAGCCACCAAGTTAAAGATAGATCCAAACACACATATTGCCAACAATCCTATGCTTCGAGGCTTAAACTGCATGATTGTCACAAACTCTAACGTATAAGAAAATGCAATATGAAAAACAATTGTTTGCCTACAGAAATTATGGCTTACAAGATTCATCGTTGAACGGCCCCCATCTTTTATAAGAGAGAGCCTCCTTTGGAATGAATTGCCATGCATCTGCAGCCATATTAACAGAGTGAACGCATTACAATTTTTTTAATTTATCTGGGATGCTCCAATTTGTAATCACAAGGAGACAACTTACTGCAGTTTTGGTTGAATCCCATGTGAAGAAACGTGTGAAGAATGGTGGCTCACTTCCTTCCATTATGATAAATAGAGGAGTTTGAAGAGATAACTTCTCAAGTAGAACATCGCATTCCAGAAATTTCTGTCAAATTCCATTTATAGAACAAAAAGAGATTTCTGTCAAACTAATTTCCTAGATGTGTAACCCATACATACTCCTTGGAGGCACCATGATACACATGGTGAAACTATTCTTTCACATTCTTAAGAAATATTTAATCATTTCCTCATGATCTTTTTAACATGTAATAGAAATTCTTCTATGATTCTCAATGTTTGCTTGATAAATTTATTGTTTTAATATCAATTTAGTTAGCTAGCCAAATGAGTGTCATTCCAAATGCACTTCTCCTTACTTGTCATGAATAGCTCAAAACATACTATAAAACCTGTCAAGGCTCGAATCGTTTTGGATGATTGGCGTGTTTTTCCTATTCGGTAAAATGAGCAACACCACTCATACGTTTCATGCATGTGAGGCGTAAGTCTAACAAAGGGTAATTCAGATAACTGTGCTAGATTGTATGGCTGCCACGAGGCCATAATTGTGTGAGCATGAGGATTAGTTATTTGCCAGGGTGACTGAATTCTGTTACAGAATATTTCTGTTAGGCTATTTGAATTTGTTTTGGGTTCCCTTTATTAGGCTGGCAGAAGGAAAAGAGGGAAGAATTATTTTCTGAGCTTTGCATGATCAAAATGGGCTACAATATCAAATCCAATACATAAAAAGTGCAGTTATTTGGACTTACATTATTGTTCAATTGTAACAAAAAGTCCTGATTATTTGATTTTGAGATAAAAATCAGTTGTTAAATTCTGGGAGCTCCATCATAAAGGCTTCTAGAACATCATGAAAGAGTAGTTGTAAAGAGAGAGAGAGAGAGAGAGAGAGAGAGAGGAATGTGTGTGTGTGCGCGCTTTTGCTCTCTTTTCATATTCCATTAAAGTGTTAATGGTTGTCATATACTAATTTCCGTCCCCAAATAAGTGTCCATATTTCTATTTTAACTTGGACAAAAAATAAGTGTCTACTTTCACATTCTACCCTTAATTATGAGATGGAGAAAATCTCTATTATTAAGGGTAAAAATATCTTTCAGTTGATTAAAAAGTGTAATAATTATACATTCCAAAAATGGTGTGCCATTTTCATTGTGGACATTTATTTTGGGACGGAGGCAGTATGCGGTTGGTTTAAATTTCAAAAGAAAGTTTCTCATATTGCAACATATATTAATCATATTGGTAAGCAATAAGGCCACATTTGTTTATAGCTTGTAAACCTGTCATTGGGCTCTTGATCTTAAAATCTCAGACACCTACTCAAAAAAGATCCTCATGGGTGTGTAATGTGCAAGGCCCAAGCTACCACAAGCTTCCGGTGTGTCATTACATATATAGCAATTCAAGCAATGTCTGTTTGTAAGAAGAGTGATTTAATCATACCTTGCCAATAGCTAATGCTTGTGTTTTGGTTTTTGAATCAACCTGCTGCCCTACCCAAAGAAAGATGCTTGAGTTACAATCAATGATATATATATCTTCAGCCAACAGATCATTTTGATTGAAGTTGTATATCTCAGACACCTGCATCAGCAAACCCCAATCATTCTCTTGAAGCGGGTTTAGCAAGTTGAAGGCACTAATTCATAGAAGGCTAATATAACTGTCCATGTGTGAGTTCAGCAGATACATGTCTATGTTATGATTCTGTTTCAAACATTTGCAGTTTTGACAGAATCAGGAGAGATGATTATAAACCATGGAAAGGTATAAATCTAAATCAATCGTACTCTTTTGAGGGACCTTTGAATCCTTCTCATCCCTCCCCCGATTCTCTTACCAGGTGGTTGAGTGAAGTCGTAGCAGAGCAGTTATTTCTAGAAATCAATACTTCCTAGATAAACTTAAATTTAAAACCAAATAAAAAACGTTTCAAAGGCAAAAAAATTCCATTTGTGCTCAATAAATCAAATTGAGCATACAATGCACTAAACAAAACCAAACAAACCCAATATATTTCACTTGAAAGTAGGTTATGGGGGCATGTATGCAGGCCTGACCTCTACCCTGAAAGGTAGAGCGGTTGTTTCTATAAAGATCCACCGCTTGTGCAAAAGTGTGAGCAAAGAGAAAAATAAGGACTTAGACTAGTTAAAAGGACAAACAATCCACTGCAAACATAAAAGAATAACTTATACTTCAAAACATAAAAGAAACACTTCTCTCTTATAATACACACCTTCAGATCTCCTTCTGGACGAGCAAAAAGTTCCAGCAAAAGGCATTGAAAACCAAAAAGCAGTTAGTAAATTCACAAGAAGTCTATGATAAGAATTTGGCATGGAGAATAAGAGTTCATCAGGGAGTTTCTTCAACCTTTGGATAATGTGCATGAGAACAAATGAGGATCACTTTCAGCAACGCTTGCAATCTTTTCAGTGGCATGTTCAGTTTTTCCGCCTAAAATTTCCCAAAACTGTTCAGATTCTGTGTTTTCCTTATGTACTCTGGTCTGCATATTAGGCTGCAAGCAGTATGATGACAAGTGAACATTAGGAGTAGGAGTCAACAGGCTATAATGCATTTCTCAACTCAACAAGCGGAGAGGTTGTAGGACTCAAGTTTAGAATGCAGTATGCCTTTCGGAATCATGGTCTGTAATTAGTTTTTGACATGATTATGACATACAATCTCTGTTTAGAACTAATATAGCCGGCATGGAACATGTGAATTGGGTTTAAACTATGTTCAATTCTATAGATAAATAAAGAGCATATATAATACAATACATGGACATTTGGGCTAACTTGGAGAATAAGAAAACAAGATCTAAAGCTGATTTTATACAATAGATGAACTCTATAGGCTAAAGGGTAGCATGATTACCACTCCTCGAGTTGGGACATAAATATCGATCATGCCTTACCTGCTATAAAGAACCAACCAGCTCTGGGTTATAGTGGGCATTTTACCCCTAACCATAACTCATCCGCTATAGTCAATTTGAGTCTTACATAGTTTTAAAATATCAGCTGAATTTCCGTCCAGTTTTGAATTGGCTAAATAGAGGGAGGATTTGATGGAGTACCAATAATGGAATCCCAAACAAGATGACTAGGTCAATCTCAATATGTTTTGGTCCTTCATAGAAAACATGATTCTTAGCATAACCCTGTTCCAAATACACGATATTTCATTCTTGAGAAGCCTTTAGATACCTCAAATTAAGGAGAACGACATCTAGCGGCCCTTATATAGGAGCAAACATGAACTGGAAGATTGCTCACCTAAGTATGAAACATCATAGCGGCAAATATGCATTTAGTTTACTATGGTCAAAACTCCACTCCAGTCTCCAAGGTGGATCAGTATTTGGAGGTGCGTGATAGGATTTTGAATGAACTCAAGCAACGTCTGTTAAGATGAATTCAAGCAGCGTCTGTTGAAGTCTTAGCAAGTGTAAAAATAGAAAAAAGATGGTCATTGCCTAGATGTGCAATATAAGATGGGTGACCACAAGGATGCCATTTTCACCGCTGTCCCACCCCTTAGTCAGGGTGATGGAGGGTCCGGCATCAGTTAGTGACACTTCATTAGCTATGGAGGCTACCTTCTAGCATCAATGACCATTGTGTCCGGTTCAAACAATCCAACTTAACTAACATACGTACTGCGGACCTGTAAGTGACAGCAAATAGATATGTGGCTATAGCAGCAAGCAGTGACAATGATGACAAGTGGCGGTCCAAATTCTTGTGTATGTTCTTTGTCTGCCCAAAAGTCAATGGTTGTAAGGTTGGATATTGAATCATGAAATTATTAATATAATACCTTGTCCATATAATTGTGTTTATCATACATTTCTGTGTTACATTTAAACATAACAAGGTAGGGTCACATATAAAGGAGAGATTAAAGTGACTATTGAGTCTCTCAAGGCTTTTGGCTTTTCATTTGACAAAAGGGACTTTGTCCTCTCTTTTACATCCCGCAAACTCTCTCTCCCTTCGAACCTTGGAGTCATGACTCATGACTAGCAACACAAGAAGAGAAACTCACTGCTTGGTCAGCTATGTTACTCATCTACGATTATATATTAACATTTACATATGCATGCTTCAATATGGACATTACAAACAAACAAGAAACATTTGATTGTTGTAGAAACAGAAGGCACTATTACTACAAGGAAATTCAAATGAGAAAAAACCATCATATGTGTTGTTTCAGATCAGAATATTACACCCCAAGCAGAAGTATAAATTACTGATGGAATCTGCTGAATCTCTGAAGGTGCGTATTAAAAGTAAATACTGTTAACAAGAAGCATACCTTTATCAGATCCAGTTGCCTCTCGGCAAGTTCATGGTCCTCGGTAGTCGTACGGCTTCCATTCCAGGTAAAGATGAGTGAATCATGGTGTAGTATGTAACAGTAGGAGGAGTTCAAGGATTTAGCAACCTGAGCCAATCAGAAACAAAATGATACATCTTTGGGTGATTAAAAAGACAACCTTGTTTAGCTATAAAAAAACATGAAGTAAACTTTGTTATATATTCATGCAAAAAATTTCCGTAGCAATCTGTCACACAATTATAATGATGGCAGGATCGGCCAAACATGTTATTGAGAATGATAAATGAAGGGCCCAATTAGAGACGCACAAGGCCCAGGCTTTTTCGGGCCTAGTTCTTCCATGCCTGTTTGTAGCAAGAAAAAGAAACCCAGGCCTTCAAAATCTGCGACCAAGATTTGGGTGTGAATATGGGCCCGGTCAGGCCTTTATAGGCCGGACTTTAACCGAGGCATGAAAAAAAAGTGGGACTGATCGAGCTTTTAGGCCTGGCTGGTTCCGGCCAGGGCTTTTTTCTGCGTCTCTAGGCCCAACACCCAGGCTCCTGCTTTTGTAAGGATTAGGAGAGAAGTCCTTCTATGCTGTTTTTCTTTGCACTTTGATGAGAAAACTATTTCCATGATTTGAACTTGTGACCTCTACCTTTTCATGGCATGCTAATTACAACCCCCCCCCCCTTTTCAAGTTTCACGTAAAGGCAGACAACTTACATGTTGGTGGATTACCAACAATTCCTTAGACTTTTAAAGGATGACTAGCCAGTAGCCACCCCTGAACTTTGATTAATGACTAAAAACCCTTTGACATAGAAGGGTATAATGTCAAATATATCCCTTTTCTACAAAATCTGAAAGATGTCCGTAAACCTTCCAGAAATGATTATTAAAGCAAAAAAACTACAGAATCATTGTCCAAATACTCCTTGAACTATCCAAAACTATCTCGTCATCACATATACTTACTGGAAGTATCGAACTAGCCGTTGAAGTAGAATGACAAAGAACACCCAATAATCACATATTGACCATCAAAAGATCATAGAATCAGAAACTAACTGCAGAGATTTACTCTATGGTCAATCAGAAAGGGATTATCTTCCCTATTGCTTTTTTCTGTTTGCTTGTTTGCAAGTACTCTCTCAGATGTAGCTTGCTCGCTTGTTCTTTTATATTTGATTTAAAAGCCTGAGGGTCTTCAAGGAAACACGGGTAGAGGTATAGTCTGCGTACATCCCCCCTCAAAACCCTACCTTTGTGTGGGATTTACTTACAGGTTCAACTTGGATTGCTTGCATGTTATCTGGTCCAGTGCCTTGAACGCGAAATAGTGCAATTCCATCCTCTCTATAGGTATCATCGGGTAGTCCGTTCTCTGATATGTATTTCTTGTATCCACTACTGAGACCACCCTGAGAATTTATCAAATTTATGATCTTAGTCAATCACAGGAATTGCTAAATTCTACTATATGAATTAAGGGAGATAAATACGATTTCTAATGTATGATTCTCTTCCTCCCATCTTATTTGAAGCACACCTTGAGGACCATAAAGCTCTGAAATATTGCACAGAAAAGGAAAGGTTCCCTTCCTTCGTAAATGAATGCCTACAGATCCATGAAACCAAATTATCAGTATAATACTAACAAAACAGAATTATAATACTAATTTAAATAATCAGATCAATTAACTAACCTGAGTAGCCAAAAACTTGAAAGACTCAACCATCTTGTTTGCCTGTGAGATAGCTGAATCTCTTTCTTCCTATGTTACATTCAGTTAAATAAATATGTTGGTGAAATTGAGTGATCAAAATTGGGGTAACTGATTTGCCAACATTACTCATCATCTCAAGGGTGTAGGGGGATATTTCAATATCTAGCACAAACCCTAAGGTCCCAATAACAAACTGATAGGAACCAATCCACTGTTTTTTTAATTGAAATTGCTAAATTGATAATCAATTACAAGAAGAAAAGGATAATTCTGGGTTTGAGAGCCAGATCTCTCCTAAACAACCAAACACTGTTTAATAAAAGCAATAAACAACACGGGAATTTGGTAGTTTCCTACTAGTGTGGTAGTGTGCCTCCACAAGGGATCTTATTTACCGCCGTCCTTCCATAACTACCCAATGATGTACAATGCTAGGACCTTATGGGAAAAACACCCGATAGATGCAGCTGAGTCCATGACAAAATGAATTTATGACGGGGAATAAAAGGCTTAAGCGAGTAGTTATGCACTAATAATTGATTCTTTTACACCTCAAACGTTTATCCGGATAAGCACTTACGAAGTCATATTACCAAAAATCTTACCCGGTAAGATTTAAACTAGAAACAAGAGTCTTACCCGGTAAGTGAAGACGACGACTCTTACTACGGTAAGAGCTTATCGAGTAGATTATTGCATACGGTGTTGTTTTCGGGGAGTAAAATCTTACCCGGTAAATAAGTAATAATGTTGAATTTTACCAGTAAACACTTATCGGGTAAGTCTTTAGTAAACCGTCCCTAAGTCCTTTTTTTAAAATATAATATTTTATATATGGCAAATGACTTCACACATCGTCCTTAGTTTTGACGAGGTTTAAACCCTGACCTCCGGTAACCCGGATTTAGGTAGGCCACCCTTTTGGTTGGTTTATTACAGTTTTGCAAACTACTTGCATCGTGGCATATTTTGTCCACACTTGTGATACAATACTTGTGTAGTCATGGTCAGTAATGGAGTCACATACAAATGGGGCTTCTGAGTGAAAAATTAAAAAAATTAAAAAAAGATTAAAATTGGATTCATTTTACCCTTAACAAGTTTCTTAGTTTTATGCTTAAAGAACCTATTCAATTTTTACAAGACCCCACACATTCAATTAAATGGTATATTTTGCTATTTGGTTTAACTGTTATAGTAAAAGAATAACTGAAGTTGAACCATTTAACTGTAAACCATTTTGGTTCAGGTCGGTTATTTGGGTTTGGAAAATTTTCAACATTCTTTAAGTCTGACCCTCGTCACCCAAGTTGCTAGATCCGCCACTAGTCATGGTGCTCAATGAAACATCATTATGTTTCCATATAAGATCCGAAAATTTATTGCAAAAGAATTACCTCAACACTTCGCTTTCCAAACCATGACCCTATAAGGCATTCCTCTTGATCTGTTCCAGTATATGTATATTGAAAGATATAGCAATCTCCAGTGTAAAACTTTGACTGGTCATCGTCTCCTAGAAGATTCTTTTCTTGGCCATTCACACGCCAGACCTGGACAACCATGTTGGTATACATTAATAGAATATAAAAGTCACATTGAACTACATCTTCATTATATATATACATGTTAGAGATTTTAGTGAAATCATCGGTTCATTTTATGTAATTGGATTCACAAGCAAATATGAGGTTGGTATTTGAGCTATATTATTGGCTAAGAGGTGTGGATTGCACATTCATATAAGCTAGCTAGAACCTAGAATTGTCGGATGGCGCCATATAGCAGGAGGTCAAGGGGGTTGCCTTGTGGGGTCCTAGGAGCAGCACCCTGGCGAGGTCCAAGAGGCAGCCTTTGAAGTTCCTTTCAGATGCTTTTCGGGTCTTGTTCAGAAGCTCCTGATTTTGAAGTGGTGTTGACTCAGAGGTTCCAACTCTGAAGAGTCAGAGCTTCTGACTCTGATGAGCTTCTGATTCTAAGGAATTGAAGCTTCTGATTCTGGAGGGCTTTTGATTCTGAAGGGTCGGAAGCTCTGAAGCCTTCCGATCCTTGTGTAGTTTTGGAAACTGCCTTTTTGGTAATAGCCCATTAATTATTTCTGCAATCCTTTCCAATTTACGGGGAGATATTCTCGGCATTCTTATAGGAACAATTAGGATTCTTTAAGTTAAAATATCCTCGAGTTGATTTCATGATACCCACGCAAAATTAGGGTCAAAATACAACTTAAGTAAAGCGAGCTCTTATGCCTTCTCACAATTTTATCCAAGTTTCTCATTGTTTTCTAGGGTGTCCTACTTTCGAGGATCCTCCAACAATACAATACACCCACACAAGAGAGCCCAGTATAAATGAGAACCACAAAAAATTTAAGGACCTGAGATATAACTTTTTAGTGTATATTCAATGATGAATATACTCATTGACAAATAACAAATACAAGTGAATATATTCATGATGAATATAAAGTACCAAATGTATTACTGACAGGCATAACAAGACACCATCAAAGAATTAAATTTTATCAAACCTGCAAATTTCCACTACAATCAATATATGGTTGAGGTTCTTCCTCCTCCTGTGTGGGAGCAGATTTAAGTAGACCCTTAACATCGAGCCCTCGGCGTTTTAGAAGTGCTATAAGATCATAGATACGATCAGTCAGAAAGTCGAAAATTAGTTATCTGCCACTAGTACAAAAAGTAGCATAGGCCACGGCTAAAAACCGTGGCCATAGGCCTTTCGCCATAGTTTTTTTTCCTACCAAACTGTAGCCTATTCTTTTGTGACTATTGATACCCTTATGGCCACGTTTAAATTGCGTTGCTATATCCCATGAACAAACATAGCCATAGTCATAAAAACCGTGGCCATAAGGTTATCAAAAAATTGGTAGTATATTCTTTTGAAAAGGTATGGCATAACTAACCAGCCACCTTGCCTCTACCATCCTCAGATGCGTCTGCGTCCGATTGGGGCCAGGAATTAAACTTTGATCGAAAAGATACCGTCTCAAAATTGTCAATCATGCAGATTATATTAGATGTTGGTCTATCTTGGGCTCGTAGATGTTCCTGTCAATTCAGATTAACAACAATAAGCAAAAGACAAAATACATTATAATAAAAAACTTGGAAATGTTAATCATAAAAACTGTTACTTCTACAGCTCCACTTGCAGCTTTTACCAAAGGGTCATTGGCCAAGGGTATCCAGGTTAATGGTAGAGCCCAACCTCTCAGGAAGTAAACGTTTCAAATCTCACATTTGGTGAGGAGCGTGTGTGAGTATTTTCCATATATAAATATTATATACTTCAAAACAAAAAAATGTATACTTCTGCAGCTTCACTTGCAGCTTTTCTTTCTGCTAGAGAAGTGTTTCGTCCCATCCACACATAAATTACTTCTCCACAATCCAGAAGATAACAGTTGTGTGAGTCTAGTAACTTTTTTGTCAATGACTTAGCAGCAACACGTTCTGCCTGCCCCTTCTTGACACTTGAAAACCAAACAGAAATCTTGTTAGAACTGCTGTTTGTACATATATAACACATATATACAGGAAATTGACTCAAATGACCATTTTCCGCACTCAAATTGGTCTCCTAACCATTTCTCTCCCGAACTTAGCCATGTCACTACTTCCGCAACATTAGCTAAAAAACCAAAAAAAATCAAATTCAACCGGTTCACCGTCGCAATTGCGGACCTAGCCGTCGCTATTTCGGACTTGGCCGTCGCAATTGCGGATTGCAGATTTGTGTTAAATTTGAATTTTCTTTTTTTGCCTTTTAGCTAATATTGCAAACCTGGCTAATATCGTATATCTGGTTATTGTGGGAGTAGTGACATTTGGATAAACCCGAGAAAAATGATTAGGAGAGTGTGAAAAATGGTCACTTGAGTCAATTTCACCATGTATACAAGGAAGGCAAGAACATATTACCAAAATAGCTGAGTAGGAACAGCATTGGTACTCTGTGCGGCTTTCACATTTGTTTTCCTTGGAAGCGGAGCAAAGCCACCAAAGAAACCCCAAAATTCTCCAGCTTCAGCATCAGCCATTAGCATCCCATCCTCTAGTCATGAAATGAGAAATCAGATTTTTAAAATTGTCAACTTCATTCATGAAACCAGAAACAGATTCTCCAAATTCTTTCGATGGGTCGTTTATTAAACATTTACCCGGTAACTGATTACATGGTAATTTTCCTTTCCGGATGAAATGACAAGGGTTAAAATAATACCCGGTAAGAGCAATGATAAAGATGGAGAGTCTTACTCGGTAAGTGAAAGTAGCAACTCTTACCCGGGTAAATTATTGCATACGATGCCACTTTAACGTACTACAATCTTACCCGGTAAAATAAATTATATTGTTGACTCCTCATATTAAACGCTTACCAGGTAAGTATTTAGGTAAACGGCCCCTAGTATTTACATACCGATGGTAGCTATATCGCACTTCCCAAGATGGTAATTATTTTTGATATACTGCACAACTTCTAGTGCTCTAGCCCTTTCTTGTATGGAAGTATTGGATCCATTAAACTGGAAAATCTTATTTTTACTGTCCAAGATACAGACATCATCATGATTGAGCGAGGATCGAGCACAAGGAACCTGTCCCCAACAAGTCATAATTTAGATAACATTGTGAGAATATTTGGGAACCCATTATATTACTATCCAAAAGACCCCTTGACAAGAGAAGTGTGTTTCCAATATATATTGAGGAGAAATGGTCCAAGGCTAGCCGCTTTGGGACTGTAACACACCCTCTTCCAACGGAGGCTAGATAGGCATGGTTGCCCCGGGGTATCGAGTCCTAGAATGGTAGATCTTGGCTCTGATACCATGTGAAAATATGTGGAACACCCGATTACTCTTCAAAAAGAGCCGATGTAGGACTCTAACAAACATAGAGGATCCTATCTAATGTGCAGTAAAACACAGACTTGCCTCTTGTACATGAACCACATGCTTTCCTTTGCATACAAACATACGAGTTTTGTGCTCTTCAGGTTCACCTTCTCGAGGTATGATACATGGCTTAAAGTAAGAAAGGAACCTCTCAGTCTCATGTCCTTGTAATTCACGATACTGAACAGATCGTCCTCCAAGAGCTCCATCAAGTTCAAGTGTCTTAATGGCTGCTGTCCTAGCTTCATCCTGTAATAAAAAAGAAGAAATCATATGAATTGAATGACTATAAGACAGCTCTTGTAATCATGTCTGACTGAATAAAAAATGAAGAGTTGGTTAACCTTGTGGAAAAAAGATGTAGTACAATAACAAGTTGTTGCAACACACTACACCAAAATTGGGTTTATAGTTGGCAAAAAATGTTTGTCCTAATCGATAAGCTTATAGGACCAAACAATTGTGCATTCTATGCAAAAGTGTTACAATAAGTTTATAGAGGATTTTTTGGGTGCCTTAACAAGTTTTTAAACACTATTAAAGTAAAGTGTCGCATTAGCATTTTTTATAGGACACCACTTGTTTTTATAAAACACTTTTCAAATAATGTCATATAAAAAATTTAATAGGATGCTTTATATCAAAACTGTCATAAAGAACTTGCTAAGACGCCCAGAAGTATCTTATAAACTTACCGTAACATTTTAATATAGGAGGCACTATTGTTTGACTCTGTAAACTTAAGTCCTAAAAGACATTCAATTAGGACATTAAGGGGCTGTTTACCAAACACTTACCCGGTAAGCACTTATCGGTAAGATTCAATATTTTTAATTTACTTATCGGGTAAGATTTTAGTCAACAAAAACGACTTTCTATGCAACAATTCACCCGGTAAGAGCTGACCGTGGTAAGAATCATTGTTCTCACTTACCGGGTAAAACTTGCGGTCATTGCCTCGTTTTTACCGGGGCAAGATTTTTGGTTCTCACCGTATTCATCCGGTAAGATAATATAATTTGGTAAGCGCTTACCCAAGTAAGCATTTGGTAAACAGATCATAAGACATTTTAGACATCCTATAAACCCGATTTTGTTGTAATGACATGTATCTCAGTAAAGAAATTCATGAATTCATGAAGATAGAACACCTTATGCGAAAACACACCTGATTTGTATCTTTACCTAGCCAATAGTGGATGTCATAGCGGAAGGCACCATTTTTTGTAGCGTTACTCTGTAAAAGAAATGTAAAGTGTAATACTCAGGGGTGTTTGATAAGAAGTATCAGACAGTAATCAATTAGATTGAAAACAAAAGAAACTGTTTAATTTTTATAATACACAATTAAATTAATAATAAAATCTAAAATATATGTTAATAAATCAATAACGATATTTTGACTATCAAATACTATGTTATTTATCAAATTATAAGTTATGTTTTATGAAGTTTCATAATAATTAAGAATAAACAAGTGAAATTGTAGGAAATATTTTGAAATAGATGGGTGATGTTTAACACTTTGTTGTTTAAAAATTAATGTAATAGTTACAAAAGAGTTCTTGATGATTATCTTATATATTTAAGAGTAAAAATATAATTTATATTATGAGGAGTAAAATAGAGAATTACAAATATTCAGTCATTTATCAGTTTTAAAAACAAACAATGTTATTAATTTCTTTTTTAGACTTTAACACCATCTCTAATCAATTAAAAATGAAATAAGATTTCAAACTATAATATCTTTTAAAAAAACAAACATACCAATGTTTTCCTTATTTTATGCTTATTTGAGGCCATATATGGTCAGAGTAATCACTCAAATGTTGCATGGATTAATTACACCCACTTTCCAACATGTAAATTGGATAGATTGCTTTCCAAATTTGATTAAGGAGTCATGTACAATCTTTATTAATATTGTTGTTACATATATGTTATTGTCATTATTTTAATTCTATTAGTACTGCTGTTGCTATTATAGTTGTTTCTTTAGACTTTTATTCTTGGGATAATCCCTAAAATAGCCCAAATCCCTCAACCTATGCACTTTTAGCCTAAGAGGCGTTTGGGATTGCTTATTTGAAACAATTTATATTTTTTTAATAAAAGTTTTTATAAACTTATTATAAGTTATAATGGTTTAACTTATTATAAGTTAGATCAAAAACTCTTTATTACCGGTTTAGTGCCGAAATAAACTGTTTATCCAAACACTCAATAATGCTTATTACCGATGTCAAATTGAAATAAATCAATAATTTGTTTTTATAAACAATCTCAAACACCTTTAAATTTCAAGTTTTGTCCCAAATTAGCAGGAAAAAACACAAGTGGGATTTGCCAATGTATGACCCACTTGCGTACTCTTTTGAATCTTTTACTCTTTTGAATTTTTTTATTGATTTTGGTGGGGACATTTTGTGGATTCTTTAGTAAACAAATAAATGATTAAAATGTATTAAATACTCTCTTAAATATGTCTTTTGTGATTCCGCATTTAATGCATTTTTACCATCTTAAATACAATTTGCGATATCATAAATAAATGCATTATATGTATGTCACGAGGGTGAAATCATTTAATACAGAACTCGCAACGATACAAGTGGATAAAATAGTAAAAGACATTTAATGTATACTTTCACATTTAATGCATTATTTAAAAAGAAAAAATTAGCTCCAACGAACCATTTTTCTCGTACAAATTCGGATTGATCCAATGTCATAGCTAAAAGACAAAAAAGGTCAAATTCAACCGATTTACGGTCATAATTGCGAACCTGGCCCGTTGCAATTGCATATTTATGTTGAATTTGAATTTTTTTGGACCTTTAGCTATTGCGGACCTAAATATTGTGGAAGTAGTGACATTTGGGTCAACTCAGAAGAGAAATGGTTAGAAAACCAATTTGAATGAGGGAAATGGAAGACATTTAACAATTTGACATACAACCCCCCTCGGTCTGCAAACTGTTCTCATCGATCAACTAAAAAAAACTAGAAATTGCAAGCGGGTCGTGTATTCGCCATTTTTTTTGCTAAATTGGGGTAAAACTTAAAATTTGGGCTCGAAAACGAGAATACACGGGGATAGAAAGCTGAAAATGTTGAAGCTAGCCCAAACATTGAATGCAAGTGGGTCGTGCATTCGCCAATCTTGGATGGACTCTGTTAATGTCCGTATTCCGAACCTAGATACTCTCGCTTTGTCCCTTTACACTCAGAGTTGAATATGACTGGAATCCCCCTATGTGCTCACATTGCCTGATTTTTGGACACTCTAATTCCTCGTGCTTGCATATTATTTCTAAGGTTACCTCACAAAAGAATGCTTCTTCTGATAATGTTAGTGTTGAAAATGTTCATTTGATTGATAGTGATGGTTTCCAAACCATCAAGAGCAAAAGCTTTCATCATGGTAAAGGGAGTTCTTTAAACTTGACATGGGGAATCCCAAAAACGAGACACCCACTCCCATTTGGATAGTGGAAAGAACACAAATGCTTCTACAAAGTCCAAAGCGAAGGCTCCTCCTCACAACGAATTCCGACCTGTTATAAGGAGACCCCCCAACCCTAGTTCCCCCCAGTGAGTACTCCCCCCCCCCAAAAAAAGGGTTTACCCTCCTCCTCTTACCATCCTCTCCCCCTATGCTCCCCCATCCTTGGCCATATCTCTTTAAACCTTCAAACTCTTCACACCCCACCAGGAAGCAATCTAAGGTTCCTCTCCCTCTTCCAACCGCTTCTCTATCATTGCTGACCCGTCTTTTCCTAAAGACCCTGTGACCTCTTTTTTTTTCTCTCTCTCTCTCTCTCTCTCTCTCTCTCTCTCCTTTCCCTTTTTGTTCCCTCTGGGCTTGAGGATGATTCCCTTGATCAGGGTGACCTCTTTGATGAGGATGATATGATTGAGGTTGAGTCGGATGATGGTGAAACCGTCCGATTCCTTACCCTTGATCTCATACCCTCCTAGGTTGATCCTATGCCCACTCATGAGCCCGAGAAGATGGACTCCACCCCTGCCCCCGTTGCCCAATGACGAGCTTTGCCTCGTGGAATTCTCGTGGTCTCTGTAAGCTGTCCCTTTAGAAAGCTATGAGAGACCTCATTCGAGATTATAATCTTCATGTCTATACTACTCTTAAGTCTCGTGCCCTTGTCTCTAATCTTCCTTCTATCAGTGAGAATGTCTTTGGATCTTGGTCCTGGACCTCTAATGACTCTCTTTGCCCTAGAGGTACCCGTATCATTGTTGTATGGAACCTCATTCATGTTGACATAATGCTCCTAAATGCCACTAATCAGGTGATGCATTTTCAAGTCAAGATTCGGGACACCTCTAAGAGTCTTTTCCTCTCTGTTGTCTATGTGGATAATTACCATATCGTCTATCGCCCGTTATGGGCTTCTCTTAAAGGTCATAAGCATGTTCTCAAGGACTCCCCGTGGTTCATCATGGGAGATTTTAATTCTGCTCTTGACCTGAAAGACAACATTTCTGGCACGTCGGGATCCCCGTAGTATGGATGATTTCCGTGAGTGTGTGCGTCACCTTGAGGTTGAGGATATCAACTTCAAGGGTCTCTTCTTCACCTGGTCTAAGAAATCTAATAGCACATGAGTCTCCTAAAAAAGATTGATCGTGTCTTGGGTAATTCTCAATCTTTTGCTCATTTCCCTTCTGCCTCTGTCATCTTTCACCCCTATCGGTCTTCAGACCATAGCTCAATGGTCCTAACTCTTTCATCCCGTGTTTCTTGTAAGCTTAAACCTTTTAAAATTTCTAACTTCCTTACCCATAAAGAGTCTTTTAATTTTGTCGTTGCTTTGAGTTAAAACCCTGATCAGTCTGGTCATGAGATGTATAAGATTTCCCAAAATCTTCAAAATCTCAAAGGCCCTCCCCGTAAACTTATTAATGATTAGGGTAACCTTTTTTCTAAAGTGTCTAGTCTTCGGCTTGAGCTTGACAGCGTTTAGATCGTTCTGGATAGTGACACTGAAAATGTGGCTCTCCGAAAGGAGCACTGTAGGTATTTATCTGCCTACAATGGTGCTTGCCTCTATGAGGAGCGGTTTTTGAAGCAAAAAGCCAAAATAAACTAGCTTCGTGAGGGAGACAAAAATTCTTCCTTTTTTCCACAAGTCGGTCAAGAGTCGTATCAGCTGGAATCATATTGATACCATCCAAAATGTTTATGGTCTTTGGGTTGCTAGTGAGGAGGTCCCCCGTATCTCATTCTCAAAACATTCTTGGCACTCCCCGTCCCTCTCTTCCCATCTGCGATCCTGCGATTCTTTTTTCTAAAAAACTTAATGTCGATCAAGCTTCCATGATGTCACCCCTTACTGATTCCGAGAACAAGCAGGCCTTTTTCCATATGGGAGATGACATGGCTCCGGGGCCTGATGGTTTCAACGCTAAATTCTTGAAGCCTGCTTGGGGTATTTTTGGAAAGGATTTGTGCTCCACCGTCGTGAGGTCTTCTCGTCAGACAAGCTCTTAAAGTCCCTAAACAACACTATCCTCGCTCTCAACCCTAAGTCGGTCGCTCCTACTAGAGTCACTGATTTCTGCCTCATAGCTTGCTGTTATGTCTTGTATAGAATCATTAGCAAGATTATTGCGGACCGTATCAAAGATCATTTCCCCTCTCTGTTTTGTGTTAACCAGTCTGCGTTTTCCCGGGTCATCTCATCACTGACAATGTCCTTCTTGTCCAAGAGCTCATGCATGACTATCATAAGCAACGGGGTCCCTTTCATTGTTCTTTTAAAATTGATATTCAAAAGGTTTATGATACTGTCGATTGGCATTTCCTCCGCACCACCCTGTTCGGTTATGGCTTCTCGCTAACCATGATTAATTGGATAATGACATGTGTCTCCACTGCATCATACTCGGTCAGTATTAATGGAAACCTCCATGGCTATTTCAAGGGAGGTCGTGGCCTGAGGCAGGGTGATCCCCTTTCTCCCATACCTTTTCACCCTGGTCATGGGGGTCCTTAACCTCCTGACCAAAAGAAATATCTGGAGATGGACACCTTTTTCTATCATCGAAATTGTGAGGAGCAGAAGATCACCCACCCTTGCTTTGCTGATAACCTCCTCATATTCTGCCATGGTGATAGTGACTTTGTCCGCGTCATAAAAGATTCAAGTTGAATGAATTCTCTAAGGTGTCTGTTCTGTTTCCCAGTCCGGTCAAAAGCGAAGCCTTCTA